AGTACTTATGTCCTGACTGCAACCTGTAGTGGCATCTAATTCTGCTTCTTAGATGTTACTTAGCCAACTCCTAGCAGAGCAGCTCTTGGCAGCTGATAGCTACTAGCAGAGATTTAGTTTTCTTTAAGATGCTAACACCTGGAAAGTTGACCTCATACTAGTGGAAACCCACATATCCTAGAATATGTGGGATGGATCAATTGAACTTAATGGGTGAAAAGAAAATTGGGTGGGTGGGGAAGGCAGATGAATCTAGGAAGAGTTAGTGAGGAGATGATTATGATTGAAACATGCATGAAATTCTCAAAGAGAGAAAATAAAATTTAAAAATTTAAAAGAATAACAGACATAAATAGTGAATATAAAAGTTAATAAAATGTTTCCATAAAATGCAGAAATAATCCATCAGCTTAGGATATGACTCAGTGGATAAAATGCTTCCTGCACAAGCTTCAGGACCTGAGTTCGGATCTCATACACCCAAATACAACCACACCTATAATAAAAACCAGCACAGGCCTAGAGCAGAGTGGCAAAGCAAGAGCCCTGAAACTTGCTGTTTAGCCATTCTCACCAAGACGTTGAGCTCTAGGTTAGCGAGAGACCCTGTCTGAAAAAAATAAAGTGGGAAGGAAAAGAGTTATAGGTGTAAAAAAAAAAAGCCCTTTATGCCTTGCAACACACACCCACAAACATAAATGCACATATGCACACATACTTAAATAAACCACATACACAAATCCAAACTATGAATTCAGGAGTGGCTTTTCTTCTTAATGAAGCCAGAGAGATAGAGTATTCACAACTTTCAGGGCAGATAAGTAACAAATTGGTTCTAAAAACATGTAAACAGAAATGAAGAAAGATTTCAAGCCTAGGTGGTAGAACATTGGTGGTATGATGGGGAAAGAGGATTAATGGGATGGAAAGGGTCAAATGGGGTGGGAGATGGGCGAGAAGGAGTATGGGGAGGGATGACTGACATGGAAGACCTTTGAAAATGCCTCATAAAACCTACAGTAGAAGCTTCCAAAAGTGCATTTATATATAAAAGTTTAAATGGTGAAACACGGGCTTATCTCTCTCCCAGATACCACAGTCTATTAAATAAGATCAGTGTCAGAATTATTGGCCAAAGGGTTACTATAGGGCCTTCCCCCCAAAAAAAAAAAAAAAAAAAAAAAAAAAAAAAAAAAAAAAAAAAAAAAAAAAAAAAAACCTTACAAGCTATTACCATTTGTTTTGCTTACCTTCCAGACCTTGGTAGAAATGTTCTATTTTTTAAAGTTACCACATACTTGAGTCATAGGATATGAAAAAATCAAGCTGATAGTCAGCTGGGAGCTCTGTCCTTGCTAGCTAATTTCCATGGTTCTGTGTGAACTAAGAACAAAGAAAATTCATTAAAAGTCTCATGTCTACCCTGGAAGCTGTGATAACTACTGTTCTGGCAAATTATGTCCACTGATAAAATAATGGCACAGATGCTGTGGGTCTAACCAGCAACATTCTGACTGAATTTAAAACCAATGCCACACTCAGAATGATTTTTTTTTCTAGTTTCATCCATTTACTTGCAAATTTCATGAGGGCATTGTTTTTTACAGCTGAGTAATACTCACACTTTCCTCATCCATTCTTCAGGTGAGGGACATCTAGGTTGTTTCTAGGTTCTGGCTATTATGAATAATGCTGTTATGAACATAGGCAAGAAAGTATCCTTGTGGTATGATTGAGCTTCCTTTGGTGTTGTAATAAGGAGCGGCGGGGCTGCGTCCCCAATACCCCAGCCGCTTGGCTAGCTCATGCCCGAAATAACAACACACAAACTTTATTCATTTAAGAACTGCTTGGCCCATGAACTCTAGCCCTCACAGGCTAATTCTCGCACCTGGACTAGCCCATTTCTAATGATGTATGTAAGCACCCCAAGGTGCGCTTACCGGGAAGATTCTAGCCTCCGTCCATCATGGATCTGAGCTTCATGCGTCTGCCTCAGAGCGCAGAGCTATTGCGTCTACCTGGGAGGGCTGAGCATGGCATCTCTCCGGAAGCAGAGCAGAGTCTGACCTCACTTCCTCTTCCGCCCAGATCCTATTCTGTTTATTCCTCCCACCAATGCTTTAACCTATCAGGGCCAAGCAGTTTCTTTATTGCTCAGCCAATGAAATCAACAGATTGATATATGACACTCCCACATCACTTTGGGTATATGCCCAAGATTGGTATTGCTGGGTCTTCAGAAAATTGAGTAGGTTGATTCCCAATTTTCTGAGAAACCACCATACCGATTTCTAAAGTGACTGTACAAGTTTGCACTACCACCTTCAGTCAATGAGTGTTCCCCTTACTCCACATCCTCTCAAACTTAATCTGTTTTCAGTGGTTTTGATCTTAGCCATTCTGACAGGTGTAAGAGGATATCTCAGAATTGCTTTGATTTGCATTTCCCTGATGACTAAGAGCAAACTGGAGGCAGATAAGTGGGGAAGGAGGAATGGAAACTTGAGGTAGCAAGCAGAGGAAGCCAGAGGTGGGTTGGGGGCTGAACATGGAGGGGGAAGAGTAATAAAAGAGATGTCTCGATGGGAGGGAGGCATTTCAGAGTTAGGGAGAAACCTGGCTCCATGGAAACCTCCAGGAATCCACAAGGTTAACCTCAGCTAAGACTCCCCTAATTGTCATCAGAGATTCTCTATCCAGTAACTGATGAAAACAGAGGCAGAGTTCCACAGACAAGCACTGTGCTGAGCTCGGGTGTCTTGCTGAATATAGGGAGGAGGGATTCTAAGAGCCAGGGAGTTCATGATGGGGAAATTCATACAGACGTCTGACCTGAGCTCATGGGAGCTCATGGACTCTGGACCTGTAGCGCGCGCGCCATGGCGCTGTCATGTCGTGGGCACGGAGCCTGGGCGCCGTTTGCTGTTCCACGTCAAACTTGATAGACAACTTGTGCGCATGCGCGCGAGCTCCCCCCAGCGCGGGGAGTCTTTCGATCTGGCCATCAGATCTGGCCAATCATAATTTAGCAGGATCACTCCATTCTGGCCTGAGCCATTGGGTTGATGACACGTCAGGGCTTTGTCTGGCACCGTATATATTCTTCTGCTTCACGGGGTCGGGGTCTTTTGCCTCTCTACAACCTCAAGTGTAAGTGATCCAATAAAGTGTGTTCTGAGAAGAATCCTGTTGCGCTTGGTCTCTTTGTAAGGCTCCTAGCAGTGAGATCAGGACCTATAACTGACTTTGGGGAACCTGTTCTTCATGCCGGGTTACCTTGCCCAGCCTTGTGGCAAGAAGAGGAGCTAGTTTCTGCCTCAACTTGATGCACCATGCTTTGTTCAAGCCCATGGAAGGAGGCCTGCCTCTTCTGAATGGAGACAAAGGAGGAATGGAATGGGATTAGGGATGGAAAAGGGGGGCCTGAGAGGAGAGGAGGGAGGGAGGGGAGACTGTGGTCAGTATGTAAAATGAATGAAAAAATGTTATTTAAATAAATTTTAAAAACCAATGCCACAAGGTAGAATACATTGTTTAGTATTGTTAGCTGAGCAAACATCCCATAACTGGCTAGGTCATGGCCCTAGGGTATGACCTAATACTATTATTCTGCTAACTGGACATAGGAATACACCGCCTCCTCTGTTCTTATCTTTATACCCATAGATTAGAACATCCCTCAAACCTTATCAGAGAAGCGCTTTTTGCAGTAGATGCCGAGAATAAGAGACTGTGGGGTGCTTAGCTCTAAATGAGACTTCTGTATCATTCCTCCTCACCCTAAGGCTCAGAAAGCATTTCAGAAGAGAGGGTGAAAAAATTATAAAAGCCAGGGGTAGTAGACTTCTGTAGTAAAGTCATATTTGCCAGACATTAGAGGGTCATTGAACACATAAGGCTGTGACTGTGTGCATAATACATCAAGGTAGCTAAATTATTAGTATGAATGAGGTGAGGGGGGAAGGTCATGGAATCTCACTCCTACCTGGCTCAAGAATTATTATCAGTTGATGGAGACTGGGGAGAAAGGTGATGGGGTGTTAGAGGGGGTAAGGGAGTAAGTAATTAGGAAGAAATAGGGGTGGATTTAGCCAAAGCATCATAGGCATGGATACATCTATAAAATTCTCAAACAGTAATAAAAAAAGACTTCAGAAAATATTTGGGATTACAGTAATATGACATAGTAAATAGAATTGAAGCTGCTGTGTTGAAGTGTAACTGAAGGATCCACTGCACAGGTAGAAGGGTAGAGTATAATGTCTAATCATAAGCGTGATGTTCTTGTACAGCCACTTTGGAAATTAGTATGGTGGTTTCTCAGAAGATTGGGAATCAACCCAATTTTCTGAAGACCCAGCTATACCAATCTTGGGCCTAATTTATCACTTTCAATAACATGTAGGTACTGATTTTCTCATGCCTCTGATTTTTCCTTTATGCTTAAGTTGTGGCCCAAATCAAGAGATGTGATAATCTAGCATAGTATTATCTAAATTGAAAACTATTTCATGATACTTTGTTTAAATTATAATGAAAATCTGCAAGGCATAAATGATGGTCAGACTCCAGTTGGCTGTTAGTGCTCAGTAGTTCTCTTTGAATGGCCGCTGAAATATTGCTCCGGTTAGAACATGTTGCAATAAACTCTGCAGTATAATATAACAGCAATAAAAGGAAAATGTGTTTTGAGCACAGTGGAAACTTTTGAGGGCCTATTCCTTGTTAAACTTGAGATTTTTAATAGTATAAATTTGAAATGTCTCTTACATGGTATTGTCTTCCACTGCTGTGTATTCCAAGAATTCTCAGGAGCAGATCCTAAATATAATGCCACGTACAAACATCACAAAAGTATTTCTTCATTTTTATCACATCTGGAGTTTGTGCCATATATATGTATATATATGATATTTTAAAATACTGCATGTTGAAATTGAAAACCATCTATACTTTAAATTGGAAAAACTTAAAAGAGATTCGCTTTTGTTTTGCAGTGATCGACACGTTGGCAAAATTTATTCCAAATGCTCTTCCTTTCTGGATTATGTCAGGATGTCGATAAAGAAGCTTGGCTTAGACGAATCCAAGGTCAGTGTGGGATTGCCTTTCAGTTTCACAAAATACAAGAACTCTTGGGTGGGTGGTAAATTGAAGCAATACAAAATCATTTGCTTTCTACTGTTCCCTCTCCTATAAAAACTCTAAATTATATTACAATTAAGCCCCTGTTACCTTTTTTGCAATTCACCTTTGCTGTCAAATGTATAGAAAGTTTATTATTGTGTATTACCAAAGCAACTCCTTTTTAAGGATTTTTTTAGTTAAAAGAATGTTTAATTTCACTAAGTAGAATATAGTTAAAAAGCGGAACATTGTAAATGGAAATTAGAATTAACCAAAGAAGAAATGATTAATTTTAAAATATTGATTTGCAATTTTATGACTAATTATAACTTAGAATATTAGATTTAGAATGACTAAGTGTGAGTATTCTGTTATGTTGGAGCATCACAGTAGCTGAACCGTGGAGAAAAAGACCTTCATTCTTGCTACAAAGGAAATGAAAGAATAACTATTTTTTTTATTAATTAAAGATTTCTGTCTCTTCCCCACCGCCGCCTCCCCTTTCCCTCCCCCTCCCCCAATCAAGTCCCCCTCACTTGTCAGCCCAAAGAGCAATCAGGGTTCTCTGCCCTGTGGGAAGTCCAAGGACAAGAATAACTATTTTTAAGTAAGTCAGTAAATCTATTCATACCAAAACCTACTTCTAATGAGACCATATTTAATCAGAACCTGGCTGCTAGAGTTTGATCCACACCTAACTGAAGAGAGGAAGGGGAGTATCCAACATTAGTCAATTCTGTAAATCCTGTCTCACCCAAGAGGGCGTGATAATACTAAGAAGGACTGGAGAAGTTCATAATCAAGAGACGGGTTCAGTGACAGAGATCCAAGCTTTAGAATACAAAATCCTTCTTACCATGACACTGTTGATAACATATTCATAGGAGTACTTTTAATACAGTATATCACTTTTGAATGCAAAAAATTTATGAGGCATACTAAAGACAATAAACACAGCTTGAAGAGATGGAACTCATCACAGCCACATTGAGATATGACAACGACCCTGGAAATGTTAATCTGTAATTGTAAATAGAGTAATATGCCAAAGGTTTGAATTAATAAACTGGACAGCAGACACAGATGGCTAGTGTAAGCAGAGAGATTATGGACAGTATAAGACAAAGTTTTAAGAAGATTTTAGAAGTAGTTCAAAATATTGTATCCAGTTAGAAAGATGGTAAGAGCCAGAGGTGGTGGATAACTTCAAGGAAGCAGTGTTTTGCAGACACAATAGAACTAATGCACATATGAACTCACACAGACTGTGATAGCACCTACAAGACCTGCACAGGTTCAATCTTTAAAAAGCCCAGCACTTCAATTTAGGCACATGAACTACAGAAAATCTAAACTGCTTAAGTTCTAGTCACAGGAAATTACAGTAAACATGAAAGGAGACCAAAAATCTCCAGACACCTCTTTCAGAAACTAAGGCTGCAGACGCTTGATATACAGTGGGCTCACACAACGTGAAGGGTTTCTCCATAAGCCTGTAGTCAGCTGTGAAAGTCAGCAGTGGACTTTGCTTGGTGAGCTGTTTTCAAACAGCATCATTGCCATTCAGACCATAATTTGTAGTGAAGGCTAGTCTATGCATTTTCAGCAGCATCGCTGGACTCTGTCCACTAGATGGCAGCAGCAGCACAATGATTAAAACTGGCAATTGCCAAGATTGACCCCTATTAAGAACCACTGATTTTGAGCATTTTTTTTTTCCTTTATAAATTCATCAGTGGTCACCTAACAGTCCCATTATGTATCTATGTTTTAAACTGCCATTTCTATCAATGAATATGGGAAAGCAAAGGGCACTATGCAATGGTTGTAGTATATTGTCTTTATGTTTGAAGACTTGATTGTTCACAGTGATCCCTTCTTTGATCTTTCATTTTAGTCGTAATTACCTTCAAGTAATGTTCATTGGACCCATTCATAAAGTATAGATTATTTTAAAAACATATCTATCTTTCTCCAGGGAAATTAAGTCTGCCTATATACTTCAGAAAACAATGAATTGTGGTACACAGTCAAGTGCCTTGTGGCAAATAGCAGGCTTTTCTTCTTTTTGGAGGCTGAATAACAACCTCCACTCCTTTTTTTTTTGTGCGTATACATATATATTCATATATACACGTATATATTTATATACTTGTCACACATATATAGATACCACAGTTGTTTTAACCATTTGTCTGTCAGTGAAACAATAGGTTGCTAACATATCTTGACTCTTCAGTATATAATACTGCAGTCAACATGGAAGTGTAGTGATTTCATTTCATTTGGATATTGGCCCAGAAGGAATGTGGAGTCCCAAATATTAATAATTTAATTCCAAATGAGGATAGGGAGAATGAACAGCCCCTCATAATTTACCTACTTTTTTTCCAGTTTTTCCAGACAGGGTTTCTCTCTAGCTTTGGAACCTATCCTGGAACTAGCTCTTGTAGACCAGGCTGGCCTCAAACTCACAGAGATCCACCTGCCTCTGCCTCCAGAGTGCTGGGATTAAAGGCTTGCACCATCACCACCCAGCTAATTTACTTTATTATTAAATAATAAAAAATAAAATAAAAATAAAAAAATCAAAATATCTATTTTACTTCCTTTAAAAATTCAAGTTCCCAAAGATTAGTTGCATATATAACTTCATGATTTCTAAAAGAGATATGTATATAAGTTCCATTCTCTCTGTCTTCATAGAAATATAGTGTCAATAATCTTTTGAGAAATACTGCGGTGAGTTTCTTGATCACCTGAAGAATACTATGGCCATTGAGCCTCTTTGCCAATGCTTGGTTGGCAGGATTTAATTATTTATTTATTTATTTGAAAAATTACCGCCTCCTCCCCGTTTCCCATTTCCCTCCCCTTCCTCCCACACATTTCCCCCTTCCTCCCCCCCCCCCCCCCCCCGTTTCCCATTTCCCTCCCCTTCCTCCCACACATTTCCTCCCTCACTCCCGTCCCCCCCCCCCCCCCCCCCCCCCCC